TCGCCACGTGCAGCCCTGATGGGCAAGCCTGGAGCTGGTGCAGGGCCAAGGCTGGCAGCAGGGCCGGATTACAAGGTGGTGCTGAGTGTGGGGGAGGGGGTGGAAAAGCAGCTTCTCTCTGCCCCGTGGCCAGCGCCCTGTGCTGCAGCCCCTCGCAGTCTGCCTGGGGCTGCCTGTGCCTGTTCCGGACACCCCTGCGTGGACTGCAAGCGGCTGCAGCGCGGGATGCCGGCCATGGGGTGGGGGAGGGGCCGCTTTCCTCTCCGCTGGGAAGGCGCCCGGGAAAAAGCTGAGCGTGGGAAAAAGTGGCCCCTCCCCCACCCCATGGCTGGCGCTCCCTGCTGCAGCCACTTGCAGCCCATGGGGCTGTCCAGATCAGACACAGGCAGCCCCACGCAGGCTGCGAGTGGCTGCAGCGCAGGGGGCTGGCCACAGGGTGGGCAAGGGGCTGCTGTCTCCTGCCCATGGTCAGCTTTTCCCCAGGCCACGTTTCCCTAGGCTCCTTCCCTGCCTGGGGTCCTCCCCTGCCCTCCCCGCCCTTCCCCCTTACCTGTGGTTCCAGTGCGGGGCAGCCATGTGCTCCCAGGCCAGAAGCCCCGGCTGGGGGGGCGGGGCCGGGCAGGCCCGGCTGTTGTGGGAGCCCGCCAGGCTTCCCCTGGGTCTTACTGCCCTTGGTTCCTGTCATTTCTGATGGGAACCAAGGGCAGATGAATATTAATTTTCTAAATTTTTTAGGGGCCACACAGGCCAGATAGAATGGCCTTGTGGGCCGGATCCGGCCTACGGGCCATATTTTGCCCACCCCTGTCTTAGTGGCATTTCAGGTGATAGTTGTCCTTCTCGCTGTCTGTCTCCTGATAGTTTCTTCTTAGCTTGAAGAACAAGGATAATTGATTTACCTGCTTTTGGAGAGAAAACTCAGGTCTTTGGCCTTTCAAAAGACCATTCCTTCTCTTCTGTGAGCTTCTATAGATTTATTAGGTCTTGGGAATGACAGTAAGCTGCATTCGACTGGAGGGCTTGGTGGCAACACAGTGGGGCTACTAGCAGGGTAGCTCCTATAAAATTCGACAATGTTGCAATCTCCAGAGTAAGGCAAGTACAGGGTGTCTGTAACCTGGAGCCAGAGGCTCCTGTTAATGGAAAGGAGGAAATGGCCAAAATGGCCACTGTGTAAACAAACAGGCAGCCAAGATAAGGGCTGCAGACCTTAAACTCAGGCAGCTGCAGGGAAGACTGAATGGCTCCTTAGCCCTAAGAGCAAACACTTGTGAGAGGCCTGACCTGGATATGGCAGCAGCCCAGGTTAGATAAGGGCACACCTCTGAGATGGAAGAGTGGTCAGGGGCTCAAACTCTGTGAGAGGAGTGGCTGCCCTAGGAATCCATGCAGGGAGCTAGCCTGCTTTTATGCTGTGGTTTGCCACTGGTGGACCAGAGCTGTGACTGTCAGGTGAGGATGGAGGTCACAGAGTGCCAGGGAGGCATGTCAGGAAGCCCTACCAGGACGGCAGGGACACGGGACACAGTGGGGCTAATGTGCCTGACCCAGAGAGAATAAGAGGAGGGGCTGGAGCCCAGAAGTTGCAGTCCAGTGTGGTGGACGTAAGCTGAGAGCTCAGCCAGAGGCAAGGGAACTGAAGCCGGGAAGGTTAAAGCCCTGACAAGGGCATGGAGACTTGAGAAGGCCTGAAATGATAACTGGTAACACCTGAGAGGCATGGGCATTGCTGCAGGGGAGGTCAGAGGCCACCACTGCAGTCCTTAAGGCACCTGGTATCAGGAAACACCAGGAGAGCGAGAGAGACTTGACAAGTGGTTTCCCCTGGGCCTTGGGCAACCTCCCGATATTTTTCTTTTCAAACAGTATCCAAGGCATGGCAGATGAAGGGCTCAAGTGTTGCCCTGTGGGGTCAGGCCAACTCTCAGGATCTCACTATTGCACTGTTAGACAGGAGGGTGTGACATAATTGCACATATACAAACACACAAATCAATTAGGTGCATACACACACACACACACACACACACACACACACACACACACACACACACACACACACACACACACTCTACCAACTCAGGCACATACACATCCCAACCAGCCTAGGCACATTCATACCTATCACCAATTCAAGCACATACATACTACACGCCAAAAATTGGACAACAATCAGTTGTCATTACCCACACACTCCATACACATACAAGGATCACTAATTCGTGTATCACACACACACGATGACACACATATATGTCATGCCCATGTGTGTGTGTGTATTCACCAGTTCACACACATACCACCCACCTACACATACACACAGGTGCGTTCCTAACTTGGATGGTACAGTGTGTGTATGTGTGTGCTTGGGGTGCCTGAGATACTTGGAGGAAGGTTAAGGTGAGAGAGAGAGTTAAAGTGTAGGGAATGAAAGTTGCCAGAACTGGTATTAGAACTGGTAGACTAGAGAGAAGCTGGCTGAGGAACTGAGGCTGGGGTTACTTAAGGTCAAGTGGCCCCAGGGTTGCTCGAGGTCACTGGTGGGAAAAAGCCCAGTGACAGGAGGAGACAGACGGGAAAGAGAGAGAGGCAGAAACCTGGGAGCTTGGGGCTGAAAACTGAGGCAGACAGCTGAGAGATTGCGGGGGGGCAGATAAGTGGTGGCAAGGAGGAAACAGACAAAAACCCAACTCGGGGTTTCAAAATAATAGGTTTATTAAACAGACAACACGCTACACAACTCCATGAAATTATTGGTACACACACACATGCATATGCACTCACAATGGCAGCAGGAGAAAGACACTCAGTGAAAGGGCTGGAGTCCAGGTATGAAAGAGAAACAGAGTCCAGTCCTTGGTTGAAGAGGGGGTGGAGGGTGATAGCTACCTATCCAGGCTAGAAAGGGGTCTTTATCCAGTAGGTGTTGTCCAGAGGGGGGCTTGCCAGCAGGGCCTCTGGGTGGATAGGTGGTGTGACACGGTGCTGGTCCAGATGGAGAGGGTGTCCCAAGGAGTCAGTCTTCACTCCCCCTTTCTATGGGGCAGACTACCTCTGATCTCCTATGGGGAGGGCCTGTCCAGGCAATGCCAGTCCTGTTCCAGAGGGTCCCAGGTGTTCCTACTGAGCATGTGCAGCCTTGGCACAATGGTGGGTTGCCTCGTCTTTTGTTTCTTGAATGCTGAGGGTGGTTCCAAGGGCTGGGTTGTTGGTCCAGGTATTGGTTTTGATGGTTTGGTCATTCAGAGGGAGCTATTTTTAGACCTACTGCCATTGTCTCTCAAGCACCCTCATTCATCTCCATTCATCCAGGAACCATGTTACACAGGAGGGGTTGGTCTGAGTCATAGGTTACAGCATCAGGGGACACAATATGGAGGCTTGACATTACAAGATGGAAACTTACATGACTTATGCTAACTTACATACGTAGGTCTAAAACAGTAATCACACAATATAAAAGCAGTAAAAAAATCAATACAAAACATAATAATTATCACTTATAAAACAGTGGATATCTATATCAAAATAGCAGGGCACTTATTTGCAAAGAGGGGAGAGAAAAATAAAACTTACTACTTAAAATAAAATGTTAAAGCTTATCCTACATCTTAGCTTAGTTATAATTATCTATAGGGAATAGAGAGGGAGAGGAAAAGTCAGAAACAGTTGGGGAAGGGGAGGGAATGCGTTTTAAAATAAAAAAATAAAACCTTGGGGTTTTGCTACAGAAGGAACTGAAGGAGGAAAGAGTCTGGTGGTCACCAAAGTGTGGTATTGTGCTGCAATCCTGCCGTGCTTTAGATCCTCAAAACCCCAGCCCCCGGGTACTCCTTGGTTAGAGAAAGGCTAGGGGACATCACCCTGACAGAAATGCACTCTCGCTGAGGCATTAGGCAGTCAGCAGAAGCTTCAACTATGGAGGCACTGAATGTCTGGACTTGGTCTGCACTCTGTCTCAATGGTCTAAAGTGGGGCAAAGGTGGGTCCAGGGCAGCCTCCACTCCTCTATACTCTTGCCTAGATGTACGAGCTGAAGGTCATGGTATGATGTTTGCATAGACCTCTTGCATGTACACCATGAGAGAATCAATGGTTGCCAAGAACAGATGTATTAGTTTTTCTGTACTTTGAAACATGGGCAGTCTCTTTTCCTGGCTCTCCTCATTGCATCCAGTGTCAATAGACATTGATGTCATAAATTGTGTGTGTGTACATGTGTGTGCTCTCAAATATATACAACAGTACCTGATTCAGGTTCTGGTTCTGCCTGATTTGCAGTAGGGACTTAAACCTGGGTCACCTATATCCCAAGTGAGTGCCCTAATCACTAAGCTACTGTATGTTCTTGATGTGATCACACATACAGCACTGCTTTTGTGGAACGAATTTTTTTTTCTTTACAGATACTTTGCTGTGTGTTTGTGAAATATATAGTGGGTGGATGACATTCTGGTCAGACTGGCTTGTTGTCAGTCCTAACTAAATACTAGTAATTGGCTTTACCTTTGGGTCTACCTGGTATGTTTTAATGGTATCTGGGTTGTGATACCAGGACTCTGACTGTGCCAGTCTTGGTTAGCACTTAAGAAAATGCATCAAGAAAAATAAAATATTAGAAAGAAGATTAAATTAAGATAATCCCACTTCACTAACCCCATTAATCCTGAGATTTTTATGAAGTATTTGTAGGCAGGATTTTTTCCTTAAGCAGAGATGGAGTCAACTATTGGATGCTCTTTGTTCATCTTTGCATTGTGAATCTTTATCGTGTGATGCATGTAAAGTTTGTATTTTAAACAGACTCAAATAACAAGTATATAAATCTCAAATTATTACAACATTGCACAATAAAAACAATGTACTTTACAAACGAACTACTGTGCAGCTTTTTCTTTCAGGCCCCATCCAAGAGGAAAAATATTTCTATCCGTCTGAAATCTTTTAGAAGTAAACATACTAGTCAAGCTGTATCTTAATCCCGATTCCACAATCCTCTTCACTGTCCAGTCTGAGTATTAGAAATTCCACTACCATTTTCAGTAAATTGCTGAAAGCGTTGTTTGTGAAGCAAACTGTTTCACCATTTCCATTCTTTTTTTTAAGAAATGTTTTGTGTTCCAAGCCAAATCAGCCAAATCAAGTCCAAATCCGTGAGTCAGTCCAGAACCATAAGTGGCCGTACAATCCTCCACCCCCACCAGGGGCTTCAGATATTTCCAAAGTCTTTCGGCAGGCATCCTACATGCAGGCCCAAGCCCAGAGGCTTGGGGTTCGAATGCCTCCACATTTTGCCTGCCCTCAGCCATATGGCCGCAGAAGCAAGCTCCCATTTCCATAAAATGGGCTTTGAGCCCCACCACCTTGGCAGGTACTAAACCAAGCCAGAAGATCAGTCATCCTGGGGAGGGCTTAAGGAAAACTGCCTTCATGGACCCAGATACCTGATGTTTCCCCTGCCAGGTAAGTTTCACCATTTCCATTCACTGTCAAATTTCCTGAATTCAGGAAAAAGAAAATGCCTCTTGCAGTTGCCTAGCAGGGCTCCATTTCTGTAATGAAAGTCTACGCTCAGGAAATGTGTGGAAGGGCCGAAAGAAGAGGCAGCCCTTTTGATTGCATGAGTGGCACTAGGAGTGTGTACCCCAAGAAACATGCAGAAAACCTCGCCCCCAGCATCTCTTGAACAGGTTCAAGGCACCACCCCTTTCTTGCAGCCCGAAAGTGCATGATTCCTGTGCCCCTCAATGATTCCCTGCCTCTTCATTGGCTGTGAGATGAGGACTGAGGATTTCCGAAAAGCCTCAGTGTGAAGATGGCAGTCTCCTGTTAACCCTCTCCTGGCCAGCAGGACATGCCTCCAGCTCTGCTCTCCCTGGCAGCAACAACTGGCTCAGTGGACGCAGGTGTATTTGGAGCCCTTTCAAAGGGGCAGTACTCAAAAGGGCAGCTGCTCTATTCACTGAGGTTCGACGCTTCACTGTTGTGTGTGCACAAGCTTAACTGTTGCCTGTAAACAAGCTGAGATTGATTTAAATGTAGCAAAACTGTTCCAGGTTTGGACACGGAGCCTGCTCTTTGCTCCATTTGAATTGTTTTCAGCTTTTTCATGCCTATCAATTAGAATATAGTGCCTCCCCCCGCAACATCTGTAGAAATGGCTCTAGATCCACGCATGCCTACACCCCTTAGTCCTTCTCTAAGCATGAGGTCTACACTTGCCTGGTGTAAGTAATTAAAACATTCTGCAAGACACAGCGCAGGTATGAGAAGGGCAGGACAAGGGCGGGGGGGCATGCAGCAGAATTCAAAGCCCCTGACTCTGCTGGACATGGCCAGTGCCAACAGGAGGGCGAGTGAGGGCTGTGTTGTAGCAGACCTGTTTGCCCTGTTGCTGCCAGCCTGGTCTGCTGCTGCTCAGCTCCACTGCCTCCTCTCCCCAGTAGCTTCCCCTTGTCCATCCCTATTCTAAGACTAACTCCTTTCCAGCCCTTCTTTACACACGTCCAAGATGTTCAGCCCCACTACACCCCAAAACACGGCAAAAAGTACTTTGGGCAACCTGAGGACTTGCCACTTCTACTGTCCCTGTCAACTCCTGCAGCTTTCTCAGCCTTTCGGCTAAGTTCAAGTGAGATCAGGCTCGCAGCCTGTTTTCCAGACAGAAGCTGTGAGAGGGATTGGTGATGGTAGGTGAGGTAGAGCAGCAAACACAGACCCTAGTGCAAATGGAGGGGTGCCCCCTATCCTGGTTAAAACCTTGGGAATCCATCGGGGACAGATTTTTCAACCCATGGGAATCCAGGACAGCAGGGACACCCAGCAGCTCTGTATTCTGCTAAAGTGTGAGGTGTGCAAAGGAAGAGGACATCTTACAAAGGACTTTGAATACTGGCGTCAAGGTAACCCAAGCAAAAAGCTGGGGCATATTTACCAGGACTGCCTTAAGTTGGGTGCTACTACTGTGAGGAGGTGCAGGGCCAAGGCAGCATAGAAACAGCAGCAGAAGGCAGAGGAGGGAAGAAGGGCAAGACGGAAGCTGGTGAAAGAAGAAAAAGCAGAAGCAGAGATCAGATGGAAGAAGAGAAAGAAGAATATGAGGAAGAGATGGAGAAAAAGGAAGCACAAAATGGAGCAGAAGAAGGAAAGTGGAAGAAAGAGCAAGAAGAGGAGAGAAACCAGGAAGTAAAGGGCAAGCAGGGGAGGAAGAGGCACTTGGGAGTTGGAGTCTGATTACATCTCACGATCTGATTGAACTAGCAAAAGCAGTGAGCATGATGGGAGAGGAGGAGCAGGATGAGGAGGAAGGGAGAAGGGAAGGGAGAGGATGGAAGCAAGAAGGGAGAAGGAGCTTCCCGTCCCAATCCAGCTCCATTCAGAAGCCTCCTAGAGTTGGGGAAGATAGGGGTGGACAGGGGGAAATGTTCAAGGTTGAGAGGGGAGAAATGAAGTGCACCACAATGAAAGGAAAAAGGAAGTCCAAGGAGGTTCCTGTTCCAGACCAGAGAAGAGGGAACGTTAAGGCAAAAACCAAGTAGGAGCAAGACTTGGGCTCAGAACTGAACAGAAGCCCAAGTCATAGCACTCAGGGACGGGCAAAGTGTAAGAATCTGGTAAGAGTAGAATAAATAAGCTGGTAGCAGGATCTGACAGTCCTTTAATTGTGTCAGGGATCCAGCCTGCCAGGTTACTGGTGGGCTACCAGAAGCTGAGGGGCATGGCTAGGGAGGGGCAGGATATGTCACAAAATTTAGGGGCCTCGAGCCCTGCTGAATGTGGCCATTGGCAGCAGGAGGGCGAGCAAAGACTGTGTCTGTCTCCCCTGGCCCAGCTTGTTTCAAACAAAGCAGCTGTGAAGCTCTATGGGATGGGTGTGAAAGGAGCCGAGACCATCCCAGTGCAGACAGATGGGCCCATTCGAACACTGCCCTGCTCTACAAGCTTCAACTTGGTTTTGTGATGGCCTTGGTCTCTTCCCAGCCCTTCCAGCTTTGCCATTCTGGCTTGCATTTGACCCCTAAAACCTTCAGCTCCTGTTTGGTTTGATTTGTTTCATAAAATTTCTGGCATCTGAAATGGAGCTGTTCACAGTCACAAAGTACACCATCAACATCAGCCTCACGGTCCTCTCAGCCTCACTGTCCTACCTACGCTCCATTTAGGCACAGGCACAGAAACTACTTTTCCTCCTCAAACCACCCCTCCCCTTCAAAGCTTCTGACAGCCAGCAGCAGTGGGCTACTGTGTCTGCACAGCCGCCTGCCTGCCTGACCACCAAGGGGCCTGCACAGCACAAGACCCCCCCAACCATCTCCCAGGGAAACTGCAGGCTCTGCCTTTGACACTGCTGTGCGCTTCTGAAGGTACTGCAATACCCCACTGTCAAACCCCCAACCCCCAAAATCATGAGACAAACTCTTAAAAAATCAAGGTATTGGAATGTAAATCATGAGATGGTGTTCTTGAAGCGTGTATGTGGGAGGGGTTCTTTGTGAAGGTGTGGAGGGCTGCGGGGGGTTTGGAGCCCGGGGAGGGAGGGTCCCTGCACACCCTGGCAGGATGTGGGGTACTGTGGGCCAGGAGTGAGGGGCAGCAGCAGGGCTGGGGGAGCTATGGCTTGGGAGTGAGGAGCAGACAGACAGAGAAGCAGACACACAGACAGCACCCAGCTGGTAAGTGGAGGGGAAGGGGCGGGGGGAGACGGAAGGGACTGGGAGCAGAGATCAAGGCCCCGTGGTGAGGGAGGGAGTGGGGCAGGAGCAGGAGCTGGGGTGAATAGGGCCCCAGGGCTGGTGGGGGTCATCCAGAGGTGCAGGGGGAGGGAGGGGCTCAGCTCCCTGCAGCTGCGCACACCCCTGGAGGAGGCATGGGGGGCACGTGACTGCCACGGGGCAGAGGTGGGCTGCCCACTCCAGGCTTGGGGCTCTGCACCCAGCTGCCTTTGCCCTGGGAGTTCAGCTGTGTGACACCAGTGTGCTTCCTGCCACCAGTGGGCAGGGGATGCACTGCATGGCCAGCATGCACCATGTCCTGTGCCCACCTGGTGGGCAGCAATGGTGTTACGCAGCTAAGCTCCTGGGGCAAAGGCAGCAGGGTGCAGAGTCCACAGTGGGCAGCCTGCCTCTGCCCCACAAGGGGCATGTGCCCCACCACGCCTCTCCCAGGGATGTGCGCAGCTACAGGGAACTGCACCCCTCTACCCTACACCTCTAGACAACCCACCCCAGCCCTTGGGCCCCATTCTTCCCAACCCGTGCCCCACTCCCTTCCTCATTGTAGGGGCCTCAATCTCTCTCCCCCTCACCTGCCCCTTCCCTCCACAGACTTACCAGCTGGGAAAATCCAGAGACCTGTGGGTTCATTCGGAAGATTGAAAACTAGTCACTCGTATCTGGGGAATTTTATGGGATGGTTCATTGTTTTACCCAAGTAATTTAATTTATGTTACAATCAAACTTGTACAGCCTAAGATATAATGAGTTACCTGATAGGGACAATCACAGTTCATATCACCCAGGACAGTTGTTCAGAATCATAGATTACCCTATTAGACTAAAAAAAACCCCGATCAAACATACAAAATACAAATGTTGGAATGAAGTGTGATG